ACGGTACTGTGTACGTTTAGGGGTGATCCTGGACGGCATGGGTTCGAATCCTGGCCGGGTCAAATAGAGTTCTTAGTGATATATATATATATATATATATATATATATATATATATATATATATATATATATATATATATATATATATTCTACTATACCATTCAAAATCGAGCCGAGAAACAGTAGGTCGCAGCGTTAATTTTATGACACTGCTTCACATCCTCTCAAAATAATATTTAAGTTAACAGTTAATGTTTTATGAGGAGAGAGTTAAGAGGGTCGTTGTCCTCATTCTTTGGGTTGGATGAGGGGCTTCAAATAATACTTTGTTCCCCAGAGTGCCTCATAATTTCTTCCCGCGCTTTTGTTGATATTTACAACCAGGGCTTGTGTTGAAGTTTATCGCCAGACCTTTTGTTGATATTAACCACAAGAACTGTAGCTCATATTTACCATTGTAGCTTTATTTCATATATACCTCCAGAGCTTTTCTTGATTGTTCTGAGATTGTGCTGATTGTCTCGCAACAGTTCTGGGATTTGTGTTGATTAATTCACAACAGTTCTTGGATTGTTTTGATTGTTTCCCAAAAGTTATGGGATTGTGTTAATTGTCTCCCAGCAGTTTTGGGATAGTGTTGATTGTTTCCCATATCCCAACAGTTCTGGAATTGAATTGATTGTCTCCTCATAGTTCTGAGACTGTGTCGATTGTTTCCCCATAGTTCTGGGATTGTGTTGATTGTCTGTCCTCCCACCCCCACCCACCCCCCACCCCCAAGCTCTGGCAGAATGCTGAAGCACTTCTACCATTTCCGAGTTCCACATTTAGTGACAGGTGATTGAAGAATGGAAATTGAAATGTAGCAGTATTCCCGAGAAAAATATATAATGTCTTCATACATCAAAATTCTCTGCTGGCGAAGAAGTTTGCAGAGAACGTAGGCGAAAATTGCACGGTCGAAATGTGTTAACCGGCCTCTTAGGTATATTTGGAAGATGCTGTGTAAAATATGTGGATTCGACGAAACATTATCTGGGTATTTTAATGCTCAAATTTTGACAACACTATATATATATATATATATATATATATATATTATATATTATAATATATATATATATATATATATATATATATATATATATAAAATATATATATATATATATATATATATATATATATATATATATATATATATATATATATATATATATATATATATATATATATATTGGTGTATACTGGCAGCAGGTTTTCTTTCAAACATGTTTCATTGAATATGACCGCATATTCTGTATTTATTATTTTCCGGTTTAGGGCTTCTATCCCTCTAACTATTTTCTTAGCATCAGGGCTTAATTGAAATAGGAGTTCTCCAAAACTCATTTTCGTACTCTTAAGGTGAAGAAAAGAAGTGATTTACTATAGAGTGTATTACACTTATTTGTATAATTTGCACGACGTTTCGAACCTCCATGGTTCATTCTCAAGTGAACAGATCTTACAATACTAGTGATTTTATACCCGCATTAGGTCAGGTGATAATACAATGAAGGTGACAACATGGGGGGATACATAAGGGATAAATATAGGGGCTGCAGAAGGCTTATTGGCCCATACGAGGCATCTCCTATCTAAACACAAAGATTAATCCAGTGTAATTGGCCTGTTATGTTGGACATTGTCTTCTGTGTTGGCATCGATATGTTCTTGTCTTGTCCTTACTGAACATATCGATGTCGATGTTGGCATCGACAAGAACATATCGATGTTTATCCCTTATGTATCCAATGAACCATGGAGGTTCGATAAATTATATATAATACACTCTATAGTAAATATATATAAAGTATATTTTGGATATATATATGCTAAGAAAATATATATATATATATATATATATATATATATATATATATATATATATATATATATATATATATATATATATATATATGTTCTTGCTTCCACTGTCTCTGTTCGGGGTCTTGAAGTGGGTAAAATGTAATTATGTATTAAGTGGTTGTTGATTGCTGGTCTTGACTTTTTGATGTGTTGCGCCTCGCTGATGTCGAGTCTTCTGTTGTCGTTATAACTCTCGAATTACTTCAGTGATGCTTGTTAAGATGTCTCTAGTGATGGTCTGGTTGTGTGAGGAGATTATACGCGCCTTGATGGAGCCCTGTTGATTGTGCATTGTTAATCGCCTAGAGAGAGAGGGACGTTGTTGTCTTGCCTATATTGGCAAGACAACAACACATTTTCTGTTATAGGAATTGTAGGGAGGGAGAGGGAGAGTCTGCCTGTGGGTCTCCTCTCCGCTTCTTCTGTTCATTGTTGATTCTGTCCACTCCTGATTTTGTCCATTTCTGTGTCCAAGAGATAGAGTTACAGTGAAGCTTCTACTGTAGAGATTATCAGAGTAGAGATATTGCTTTTTTTAGATAGATTAGAGATATTGGCACTTTTTTTTACATCCCATCAATAAACAGTTTTATTCAATCCCCCGTCAATAGATAGTTCCAGTAAATCCCCCGTCATTAGACAGCTTTATTAAATACCCATCACTAAGTAGTTCTATTATAATCTCACAGATGTACAGGTCTATTAAATTCACATCAATAGATAGTTCTATTATATTCCCATCTGTGAAAATATCGTTCTCACTCACACAGGTAAAATTTTAAGCGTCGATTTTTGAGATCCATGATTTTTCTCTTTCGGGCACATAATACCAGCTGAATAAAATCTGTACTTTGTTGAAACTAATCATAATATATTGGCAATTAAAAACAAAAAATAACATTTCAATAAGCTGATTGATGAGTCATTTAGGCTTAGAGTATATGGCTAAACAAAATGCAATATTTTTTTTTTTTTTTACCAATTCACCAAAGTTGACTAAACACTGATAGGCATATGAGAGCACGGTAAACATTTCTACCGAGTATACCAATGTGTATGTCAGTGTCGGGAGTGTATGTCAGTGTGTCCTGAGAGTGTGTTAATCTGTCTAGTGTTTGTTCTAAGAGTGTGGTCTGTGTGAGTACGTCTTGAGAGAGTGTCAGAAAGTCCTCAGAGTGTATCAGTGTGTCCTGAATCGCTCAGTGTGAGCATACTGAGTATGTATCAATGTGTATTCGTGTATCAGTGTGTCCTGTTTCACTCAGTGTGAGCATACTAAGTGTGTATCAATGTGTATTAGTGTATCTGTGTGTCCTGATTCACTCAGTGTGTGCATACTGAGTGTGTATCAGTGTGTATTAGTGTATCAGTGTGTCCTGATTCACTCAGTGTGTGCATACTGAGTGTGTATCAGTGTGTATTAGTGTATCAGTGTGTCCTGATTCACTCAGTGTGTGCATACTGAGTGTGTCATCAGTGTGTCCTGATTCACTCAGTGCGTGCATACTGAGTGTGTATCAGTGTGTATTAGTGTATCAGTGTGTCTTGATTCACTCAGTGTGAGCATACTAAGTGTGTATCAATGTGTATTCGTGTATCAGTGTGTCCTGTTTCACTCAGTGTGAGCATACTAAGTGTGTATCAGTGTGTATTAGTGTATCAGTGTGTCCTGATTCACTCAGTGTGTGCATACTGAGTGTGTATCAGTGTGTATTAGTGTATCAGTGTGTCTTGATTCACTCAGTGTGTGCATACTGAGTGTGTATCAGTGTGTATTAGTGTATCAGTGTGTCTTGATTCACTCAGTGTGTGCATACTGAGTGTGTATCAGTGTGTATTAGTGTATCAGTGCGTCCTGATTCACTCAGTGTGTGCATACTGAGTGTGTATCAGTGTGTATTAGTGTATCAGTGTGTCTTGATTCACTCAGTGTAAGCATACTGAGTGTGTATCAGTGTGTCCTCCGAGTCCATTAAATATGACACGCGCTTTGGAACAAGCGCCTCAAAGGGGGAGAAAATCTTGCGTCTCGTGAGATATGCGGTAATTTTCGCGTGGCAGGGCGTGTATTTATTGGGGATAAAAGTGATTTGTTTTCTGAAGATAACAGCAGGAGTTAAGATGTGGCTGTTGGTGTGGGGGTGTTGTGGGGTGGGAGGACTCTCCCTGCTCTCCCACAGTGTGGTTTGTGAGAGCAGGTGGAAGGTATGTGTTATTCAATAACATTTTTTTTTTGTTATGTGCATAGAGGTTTAGAGGTAAATGATTTCGAAAACTCTTCTAATCTCGGAGTTCGGACAGGGGCCAATTTTTTTTTTTTTTTTTTTTTTTTTTTAGGTGGGGGGTGAAAACTGGATTGATGAAACTGTTGCTGACAGCGGCTGTCAGGGTCACATATCCATCACAATCCAAATAATTTCCCACTTGCTGCAGTAATCTATTAAATTTCTCTTTTTTTGAAATTGAAAGTTTCGGTTCTTGTAGTATTTCTTAAATTATCTGCAAGAAGGTTGAAATGTCGAGGGCCTCTGATAGGCAAAGTGCATTTGGTAGGCATTATAGGACCTATAGGCTTCACTGGACCTGTTCTACACTACCACCACGCATTCCCTTCATGCAAGTTATTTTAGTACTCAGATTGTGGACCTGACAATCCATGAATTTTGGATAAGCTTAGATTTTGGAAAAATTATATATCAGTTTGGAAACAATTTGATTTATGAACATAAATCCATAAATCATATACAAAAAAGGAAACTTCTATTATGCCCCCTGGTAGCATAATGGCATAACAGCTTGGCTGGTGAGCAGATGGAGTTGTTGTGATGGTCTCTGCCAGCCTGGTTTGTTGACGGTCGGGGATTGAACGCCGACCTGCATGAAGGGAGACCGTCGCTCTACCGTCCAGTCCAAGTCGTTGACCTGGGCGGGTGGATACTTATTCTGGTAACTTGGTGAGCTGTGGAGTAAACCTGGTGAACGGCCCATTATTATTACTGTTGTATTTCCCTCATTATCAATAAGCATATACATACATATCAGCATATATATAAGACCGTATATTTGCACTAACGCTGCTGGTTTCCAGGTGTGTGCGAGGATGGTGGGCCGAAGCCAGGTGTTGCTACTGCTGCTGGGCTGCTTCCTCACCACCGACCTTGCTCTCTCTCAACAAGGTCAGTACCTCACCTTTATTCCCACACTCAGCCTGTGCCATTTTTTTAACAGAATTGTCAGTGAAGAGTAACAGTGAGAATTCCGAGCACTTTTAGGACTTAAACTTGCGGCATACTGCCCCCCATCATAGCCTTTGCACCAATACATCGTGAAATCGTTCTTCTCGCAGTGGTGGTGATGGCTCACCATGCAGGTGACTTTCTATTAGCAAAACCCTTGTGAGCAGCAGACATGCATTTGAAATTGCAAACCCTTCCTATTCTGGTGGATCTCCGCCATGGTTATCTTGAGGTTATCTTGAGATGATTTCGGGGCTTTAGTGTCCCCGCGGCCCGGTCCTCGACGAGGCATCCACCCCCCAGGAAGCAGCTCGTGACAGCTGACTAACACCCAGGTACCTATTTTACTGCTAGGTAACAGGGGCATAGGGTGAAAGAAACTCTGCCCATTGTTTCTCGCCTACACCCGGGATCGACCCCAGGACTACAGGATCACAAGTCCAGCGTGCTGTCCGCTCGTCCGACCGGTGGTGTGAATTTGGTGTACCAATTCACACCAAATTTTGGTGTATTTGGAGTGAGATAAAGGCTGACGGGCACTGTTAGCATAGTCTGCTCTACCAAAGGAAGGGGCTGGTACTCAAGGCACAGTAAAGTCAACGTCACTATCAAAAGGAAACATTCCACTGTTGAGTGTCCAGCACAGAGAGAGTCTAGTTTTTAGGTGGTACTGCTATAACCAGGGAATTGGCAAAGTCAAGTAAATACAGAGAACGTGATCATCTTGATCTTGAAATTATCATGAGATGATTTCAGGGCATAGTGTCCCCGCGGCCCGGTCATCGACCAGGCCTCCTTTTTGTTACACATCCCCAGGAAGCAGTCCGTAGCAGCTGTCTAACTCACAGGTGCCTATTTACTGCTAGATGAAAAGGGGCATCAAGATGAAAGAAACTCTGCCCATTTGTTTCCGCCTCCACCGGGGATCGAACCCGGAACCTTCCATATAATTTTGTCTGGCGAAACGAGTATCAAGACTACTGTTTTGTTACACTCTACTCCAATTATGTCTAGTGAGGAGAGACGGACTGACGCGCGAGGTCGTGCAGGTGAAGAACTAACATTAAACTTTGGTCTTGCACTTTCTTGACTGGGGGACTTGGAGTGGCTGTAAATGTGGGGCCGGATACCAACAATTAGAGAGTCGGGCCAAGTTTGGACGACGTGCAGGAGTTTTCCGTCGGTGCTTCCTCTTTGTTAATTAGCACAAGTTATCACAATTCCCTGAAACAGGATAGACGCATTCCGCACCTCGAGACTCACCCTCAAACTTGGCCCACAACTTGGTGGCTAGTTGGATTATACTGAGGAAATCACGTGTCACAACGGCCTTTCCCACCGAAATGATCTGTTTCAGTTTGGACACATTATGGATAAGTTTGAATTCACAAGAGACGATAAATATTGATGGAAAAATAGTGTTTATTTACAGAACCAAAAATCAGTTAATCCGCCCAGCCTTCTCTTTCTTGCTTAATCTCTGTCACCTGGTCGTAGAATTCTATTAAGCCAGTAAGGCAAGATTTACCCTCCCTGAACCCATGTTGGTGATTTGTCACGAAGTCCCTTCTCTCCACATGTGTTACTAGGGTTTTCTCACGGTCGGTGCATGAGACCAGAGGCAGTGTTCACAGTTGGTGCATGAGACCAGAGGCAGTGTTCACAGTTGGTGCATGAGACCAGAGGCAGTGTTCACAGTTGGTGCATGAGACCAGAGGCAGTGTTCACAGTTGGTGCATGAGACTAGAGGCAGTGTTCACAGTTGGTGCATGAGACCAGAGGCAGTGTTCACAGTTGGTGCATGAGACCAGAGGCAGTGTTCACAGTTGGTGCATGAGACTAGAGGCAGTGTTCACAGTTGGTGCATGAGACCAGAGGCAGTGTTCACAACAGGGTAATTATAGTTCACCACTCATCAACTTAAGGTAGAAAATGTAAATTTTCTGGCCGAGCCGTCAGCTGCAGGGGACTGCTGACAAGGCCTAAATGGGTATCATAAAAATAATATCAAACAACTGTTTAAAGGCCAAAAAGAATTTGAAGAAAAAATGGTCAAATAAAATACAAATTAGATAATTATTTGTTTTTGTCAAACCTTCACAGTAAACCAGAATGTCAGGAGCTGTGGTCGACGAGGGTCAATATTTAGTCAGGAATGTTGACAGGTTTCGAAAAGTCTTTTGTCCTGGCTAGAACTATTGATCCGGGTCCGATAAAGATGCCACCAGGGTCCGTTTAAGGGGCCACAGGCAGGTATTTACCACCTGATTCCTGAAGAGTCGTGTTGGTTAGAGTGTGTGGGGGAGGGGGGGTCTACCTCGCCCACTGCAACGCTGTAGCACGTAGCCCCTTCAGCTACACCGCCCCCTGGAGTGATCGGGTTGATACTGTGTTGTATCGCTTCAGGTGTAGGGGGGAGATATGTTGTTGCTGCCTCTCTTTCTCTCTTTGTACTCTGTCTTTCTGTCTGTCTGTCTCTCTTTCTCTCTCTCTCTCTCTCTCTCTCTCTCTCTCTCTCTCTCTCTCTCTCTCTCTCTCTCTCTCTCTCTCTCTCTCTCTCTCTCTCTCTCTCTCTCTCTCTCTTGTACTCAACTTGTGATCATCCTGGCCACCAGAGATCCTAATTTTGTATTAATAATTAGAAGAATACTACTGAAGTAGAGTTTGCGTATACCTACTCTACACGGAAACTTACCAGTAACACTCTCCTTGATGTTGACAAACTTTATTTGGGGTAATAGGAATTAGTAACTGCTAGTTGAACTGCCTAGTTAAATACTATAACGAGGGTGATAAGGTTTCAGACCTTCTGAAACCATTTGCGATGTGATAGGCGTCTTGAATTGCCCGATACGTTTTTACATTTTTTTGTTTCATATCCATGGGATGGGATGGGTTAGGTTAGATTAGGATAAATTAGGGTAGGTTAGATTAGGATAAATTAGGTTAGGTTAGATTACGTTAGGTGGAATGTTTTGTATAAACTGTTAGAACATCAATATGACTATTGTTGAGGCTGTTACATCAATAATAACTTTTGTTTAAGCTGTTACAACGTCAATATAGTTCTGTAGTAATCTGTAATATACCAAATATAATCTAATCTGATCTAATATAATATAATATAATCCGTAATATACCTGTAATATATCAATATACGTTGTATATGTATAGAGTAGTGAAGAGTTAACAGGAAGGTGGTATATATTCCTTCCTGATAACCTGAAGTTGTATCAGCCTTCCTGATAACCTGAAGTTATATCAGCCTTCCTGATAACCTGAAGTTATATCAGCCTTCCTGATAACCTGAAGTTATATCAGCCTTCTTGATAACCTGAAGTTATATCAGCCTTCTTGATAACCTGAAGTTATATCAGCCTTCTTGATAACCTTCAGTGATAACCTTCCGTCACTCTCTCCGACAGACACGTCGACGCAGGACCCGGTCTCCGAGATCAGACACCTCCTGCCGAAGGCCAACTTCGCTAACAACTCCGTAACAAACGTGACGGTTCAGCTGGGGGCGACGGCCTTCCTGCCCTGCAAGTACCGCCACCTGGCCGACCATCAGGTCAGTGAGGATCAGGTGTGTACTACTTCAAGCTTTCTGCACGACCTGATCGCTGGCTGGGGAGGGTCGACAGGCGGTGTTGAAGGTTGCCTACAGGGTGTATTTAAGTTGTATATAGGTTGCGTTCAGGTTGCATATAAGTTATATGCAGGTTTCATTCAGGTTGTATATAGGTTGTATTCAGGTTGCATATAAGTTATATGCAGGTTTCATTCAGGTTACATTCAGGTTACATTCAGGTTTCATTCAGGTTTCATTCAGGTTTTATTCAGGTTTCATTCAGGTTGTATATAGGTTGCATTTAGGTTGCATAGAGCTTATATGCAGGTTTCATTCAGGTTTCATTATTGAATGAAAACTGAATCCTGGCACTAGGTTTAGTAATCCTAGCACCAGGTCTACTAATCCTAGCACCGGGTCTAGTAATCCTAGCACCGGATCTACTAATCCTAGCACCAAGTCTAGTAATCCTAGCACTAGGTCTACTAATCCTAGCTCTGGCAGTATCTGTGTGAAGAACCTATGCCCCTTAGCTCATATTAGCCAGTATAAGGTGGGTGTTGGTATAAGGTCTTCGCAGACCTGTATAAAGGGAGGAAAAAGGAGCCATATCAAAGTATGATATTGGATTGTAGCTCTTCGGATCAGGAGTTTCGAATCGTGTGCTCTAAAGCTCAGCAGAGCAGAGAGAACCTATATGGACCACAGGGATATTGCTCTCCTGGGGGGGATATGTCCCAGAGGCTTGGGTCATCCCATCTACTTTCTTTCTGTTTCTCTTTATTTTTGGTTCTGCCACTGACGCAACCATTCATTTCTATAATGTTAACCAGCATATATATATATATATATATATATATATATATATATATATATATATATATATATATATATATATATATATATATATATATATATATATATATATATATATATATATATATATATATATATATATATATATATATATATATATATATATATATATATATATATATATATATATATATATATGTCTGTCCTCCACAGAAAGGGGAAGAGAGAGCTGTTCTCCTATATATAATGTAGAGAGTTATTGAGCACTTAACCACGCAAGGTGATTGGAGTTCTTTGACAAGCTTAGATCACATCAGTTGGCTGGCAAGAGAAATGGTCCTTTATCAGTCGTCTCGATAAGGTGGGAGGGAGAGAATACTGAGGGTGAGAGGAGTGTGTGAGAGAGAGAGAGAGAGAGAGAGAGAGAGAGAGAGAGAGAGAGAGAGAGAGAGAGAGAGAGAGAGAGAGAGAGAGAGAGAGAGAGAGAGAGAGAGAGAGACATCTCAGTACAGTTGAGTTTGTTTTGGTATGGACAGGGTAAGGTGCAGACGAGGAGTCACAATAACGTGGCTGAAATTTGTTGACAAAACCACACACTAGAAAGTGAAGAGACGACGACGTTTTGGTTCGTCCTGGACCATTCTCAAGTCGATTGTACAATCGACAATCGACTTGAGAATGGTCCAGGACGGACCAAAACATCGTCGTCCCTTCACTTTCTAGTGTGTGATCTGGTGAACAGGGTAAGGTGGGTGTGCTCTCACTGGGAATTAATTTGCGTATCGAGAAACTAATTTGTGTATTGGGGAATTAATTTGTGTATCGAGGAATTAATTTGTGTATCGAGGAATTAATTTGTGTATCGAGGAATTAATTTGTGTATTGGGGAATTAATTTGTGTATCGAGGAATTAATTTGTGAATTTTGGAATTAATTTGTGTATTAGGGAATTAATTTGTGTATCGAGGAATTAATTTGTGTATCGAAGAATTAATTTGTGTATCGGGAAATTAATTTGTAAATTGAGGAATTAATTAATACATAGCAGGAACACTTCAGTAGGCCTGCTGGCTCATAAATAATACATAACCATATTCACACACAAGTTGCATCAACCACACACACGTGACCATAACCATACACGTGACACCAACCACACACATGTCTCCACCAACCACACACCTGTGTGCTTGTTTTTACCCCCTTCCCCCCTCCTTCCTTAAGAGGATCAAGCTTTCCCTAGAGTCATCAACATCTGGTGGATCACAGTGAAAAAGGTTTTGGATTCCCCTTCAATCCAGATGTCGTGTTTTTATGGGATTGAATTCCAACATACTTTCTCTCCAGGTAATTAAGAGAAGAGCCAATGTTACTTCTGAAGTTCAAGGTCGACCTCAGATTAATCCAATTTTGCTGACTTCAAGTGTCAAGTTTGCCAGCAGACTTTTAACGACCTCTCAGTTATTGACTGGCTGATTTGATTGTCCTGATTGGCTGATATGAAGCCCTAAAAACTGATTGGATATTCAGTTTCAAATTTATATTTGGATTAGGATCAGTCATAATATTCAATGAAATATTAGAACATATCTTTATAAATAAAATTCTGGGCATTGTTCGGATGATGATATGAATTGCTTAGTTAAACTAGTTCCAGAACTACCACATACACACACACATATACACACACACACACACACACACACACATACACACACATACACACACATACACACACACACACGCACACACACACACACACACAAAGAGCCAAAGAGCCAAAGCTCAAACCCCGCAAGCACAAATAGGTGAGTACAAATAGGTGAGTACACACACACACACACACACACACACACACACACACACACACACACACACACACACACACATGCCGCGAGTCATAATAATAAACCTAATTTCCATAAGTACCTGTCATGTTAGAAGAAAACAATGACGCAGCGGGGAGTTTAATATAGGAATTAAAAGTGGCAGATTAATTTCTGCATGATGCCATTTATTGTATTAATTTATATGATACATTCAAATTATTTTTGTGGTAAATGATAGCGTAGCTCTCTGTGACTCCCGGCCAATTTCTGTGTCCCTGTGTTAAGGTATTTTTTATTCGTAATGTGAACTTGATATTAATAATAATATTTTAATATAATTGATTTAATATTTTTACTGTGGGTGGTACAATGAAATTGGTCAAGTTTACTGTGGGTGATATAGTAGAAGAGGTCGAGTTTACTGTGGGTGGTATAGTAGAAGAGGTCGAGTTTACTGTGGGTGATATAGTAGAAGAGGTCGAGTTTACTGTGGGTGATATAGTAGAAGAGGTCGAGTTTACTGTGGGTGATATAGTAGAAGAGGTCGAGTTTACTGTGGGTGATATAGTAGAAGAGGTCGAGTTTACTGTGGGTGATATAGTAGAAGAGGTCGAGTTTACTGTGGGTGGTATAGTAGAAGAGGTCGAGTTTACTGTGGGTGGTATAGTAGAAGAGGTCGAGTTTACTGTGGGTGATATAGTAGAAGAGGTCGAGTTTACTGTGGGTGATATAGTAGAAGAGGTTGAGTTTACTGTGGGTGATATAGTAGAAGAGGTCGAGTTTACTGTGGGTGATATAGTAGAAGAGGTCGAGTTTACTGTGGGTGATATAGTAGAAGAGGTCGAGTTTACTGTGGGTGATATAGTAGAAGAGGTCGAGTTTACTGTGGGTGATATAGTAGAAGATGTCGAGTTTACTGTGGGTGGTACAGTAGAAGAGGTCGAGTTTACTGTGGGTGGTATAGTAGAAGAGGTCGAGTTTACTGTGGGTGGTACAGTAGAAGAGGTCGAGTTTACTGTGGGTGGTACAGTGGAAGAGGTCGAGTTTACTGTGGGTGGTACAGTGGAAGAGGTCGAGTTTACTGTGGGTGGTACAGTGGAAGAGGTCGAGTTTACTGTGGGTGGTACAGTGGAAGAGGTCGAGTTTACTGTGGGTGGTACAGTAGAAGAGGTCGAGTTTACTGTGGGTGGTACAGTGGAAGAGGTCGAGTTTACTGTGAACTGGGCAGTTAAATTGTATGAGTCTACTGTGGACTGTACAGTGAAAGCGTTCGAGTTTACTGGATAATCCAAAACAGCAACCGCTCAGGAGTTGAGTGTAAACTGGGGCATGGTGGGGGAGAAATGGTTCACCTGCAGGAGTGACGAGTATTTGGTCCTTGTTTACCGAGCATTTGGTCCTTGTTTACCGAGCATTTGGTCCTTGTTTACCGAGCATTTGGTCCTTGTTTACCGAGCATTTGGTCCTTGTTTACCGAGCATTTGGTCCTTGTTTACCGAGCATTTGGTCATCATCAACAAATTAAAAAAAATCAAGTCCATCCGGCCGCCAACCCCCCCCCCCCCTCCCCTATTTTTTAATGAAAAAGTTTTTACACACGAATCACAACTCATGAGCTTTCGAACACTTCTCGAACAGTGCTTTGCTGACGACCACTGTTCTAATTACAACTCTATAAATGTTTCACCCCTCGCACTACAAATACAAATAATTACCAACACAACCTAGAAACTTAACCTAACCTAACTGAACCTAACCTAACTGAACCTAACCTAACTGAACCTAACCTAACCTAACCTTACGTAACCTAAGTGAATCTAACATAACCTAACCTTACTTAACTTAATCTAACCTAACCTAATCTAACTGAACCTAACCTAACCTAACCTTACTTAACCTAATCTAACCTAACCTATCTCTAACTGAACCTAACCTAACGTTATTAATTAGCGAGAAGCCTCGTTACGAGCACCAATTGTTGAAGAGGTCGGGAAGTCCCAGAAATACACAATTATACTAACAATTATACGTATAATACATTAACTAACGTATTATAGGACAAATACACAATTATACTAACGTATTGTATGACAAATACACAATTATACTAACAATTATACGTATAATACATTAACTAACGTATTATACGACAAATACACAATTATACTAACGTATTATACGACAAATACACAATTATACTAACGTATTATACGACAAATACACAATTATACTAACGTATTGTACAACAAATACACAATTATACTAACGTATTATACGACAAATACACAATTATACTAACGTATTGTACAACAAATACACAATTATACTAAAATATTTTGCGACAAATCCATAATT